GGTGAGTGATGGTGATGATAATAGTGGTAGTTACAAATGTAGTCATAGGTTATAGTCATAGTCATGGTGAGTGATGGTGATGATAATAGTGGTAGCTATTTATAGTGTATTGTAGCTTCTCCAGTTTATCCAATGCCGTAATACGCCTACAACATGTCGACTCTATCATTTAACAAACACGTTTTAAATGTTTTTGAGCGTTATATCATCACCCATGATAAAAAATGGCGCCCAGTACTTTGGTTTGCTGTACCTGGAAGAGATACTCATCTCGTTCATTGTCAGCTGTAGACTCGTACTGGCACTTTTCCCATTTTTCAGATTGCCGTAAAACGATGTCATGAAGTCGAGTGTTGCATCGTCATCGATGGCCCACAGAGACGCTACCACTGCACGAGCACCTGACGCTAGAAAGGCTCGACACATGCCAACTACTCCTTCAGCTCTGATTTCACCACGTCCACTGTGACAGCAGCTTAACACAACTAACTGTGCACGTACTTTAGCCTGCTGTACATCAGCCATGGTCAGCATGTAATCTTCCTCATCTGGGATGACCTTTGTTGCTCTTACCTCAAGAGAAGTTGCAAATAGTATCGTACCTTTAGTGAGACTGCCGTGTGCAGCAATGTGAACGACAGATACTCCTTGTTTTAGCCTCTCTAGGACGGCTGACTTTGTAGCCTGTGTTGCCAATAATGGATGGACTCCAAGTAACAGAGAAATCTTATCTGCTTCGTCTATTGCACCTGGCAAACGTTCAATATCACATTCTTCTCCATCCATCATTACCTTCCCAACCAAAGGGTTACCAATAACCAAAGGCTTGGCATCGCTGGTTTGGTCTGTTGGGAAGTCTTCAAAGTGCTTTAAAGTCGCTAATGAAGGAGCAAGTCTAATGCGCTTTGTCTCTGATAAATACTTTCCCGTGCGAGGATCTCGTAAGGCGGGAAAAGGCACTTTGTATAAGGGACCATCGGGAATAATAACAACCTCTTCTTGCTTCGATGATAGCATTCTATCACATTTTAAGATATCAAATAGATCTTCTAGAGTAGATCCCTTGGTTTCAGCACTATTCTCATTAGATTCTCCTGTGTTAGAATCGAGGTTCAGCAGTAATGCCGTTACTTGATTAAGTTCCTCGTATTCTTCTTTGCTTCTGCTTTGTTCTTTTTGAATATCTTCTTCTTTGTCCAAGGACCTGTTCTCACAGTCAACCACCTCACCAACACCCATTTCGTCAAACAACGTATCGACGTATGTCTGTAGGGAATGATTGAGACAGATTGGAAATTGCAAATCTGTCTCCCCTCCAATGTAAAACAAAGCGAGTAAAAGGCAATGCTGAAGTCATTTCTTGAGACCAGGGACAAAACATCGCTGTACTCTAGGTGTTCATCATTACTCTCCTCTTGTTCCATCTTGAAGTTTGACATCATAAGATCTTTCAAGGCTCTTGCACGACAACGATCTAACACTAAAAGCCCTTCCTTCATCTGGTCGCGTTTGATTAACAGTATTGCCAACAGCTTATAACTATTGACATATTTGTCAAATATGGAGATCTTGAATTCATCAAGACTACCAAGTGCGGTAAAGATCGCTTCAAAGATTCGTATAGCTTCTCTTAGATAATGTTCTGCAAAGTTCAGTTCTCTGTTC